ACGAATTTAATTTGCGTTTTCCTAGCAGAGGCAGTTACCTACTCCTTTTTAGTTGTAAATAACTGAAACTTGAAAACATTGAACATCATCGGTGGATGAGAAATTAAACCGACTAATAAAACATACCCCCCCACCCCACCCTTTCAGCCGGTCACTCTCTCTCTCTCATTTCGTATAGCTAATCTCTGAACGAGAGTTTTATTCAGCGTCATTGCTGGCTGCTTCTGGGTCTTTCTCAGATCTTGTCATCCTTAAAGGTAACACTTTCCAATCCTATGTAATCTTTTTGATGATGTTTGTGTGATATTAGCTTTATCCTGATCTGCATATTACTTCTCTGTATGAGAGATTTTCCTTTAAAGCTCTTGATTCACCACATCACATTCCATTCAGTGTAAATTATTGATGGTTCTTGGGTGAATAAGAAGTCATACTGAATATATATATCCAGTTTTTACAGCACACGAAGAAAATGATTGCTTTATTTTTCTGTGTTTATGAACTTACAACGCTAAAACAAAACAAAAACAACAGTAACTCTTCAAGGTAGTGAAATTCTTTTTTCAGGTTCACCTGCTTCTAAATTGTATGTTATCTGCTAAAAAGAACAAGAAATCATCATTAAATAAAACATAAAATTAAATAATTATGTCACGACTTCGTGCTGGTTACATCGTGCAAATTATTCTTCAGTAAACCTGTAATATACATATAATTACTGAAACAAAAATACAAAGTAACTAACTTTCAAAAACATATTTCTAATTTGTAATCATCGTTTATACATTATTACGTTTCATGACTGTGTACAAATAATTAATTTTATGCATAGTAAAATTTTTGACCGCATTTCAACTTGATTCTGTCATGAGCAGCAGCTTTGTAGTCGTGAATAGTTTTACTCTAGGCTAAACTTTCGACTTTAATGCCGCATCGTGTGCGTGTTGTACAAAGCTGCTAATATTATATATATATATATATATGTTTGTGTGTGTTTGTCGTTTTATCTAACACATTTATTGATCTGGAAGTGATTATATTTGTTTGTGAACGACATATATGCATAATGTGTATTTCGTTCTTAAAGTTGTTAGAAGATACCAAGTTCATTAATTATTACACATGAATTTTAGGAGAAGTGTACATTTATTTAAGAGTTTTAGTTTCTGTGATATTGAAGTAGTAATGCATTTTTCACATTCATTTTACTAGGTGTTATACGTTGCTTCATGGAGTCTGTCTGAATTACAAAATTATGCACATAGTTTTTAACTATATGTCAAAATAGTTTTCCTTGTAAAGAAAGTTTGTTTAACGTACACGGTAATTTAGTAGCGCCTCGTTTTAACGTTTTCTCAGACGTAAAGAATGAAGATATTTCCTTGTCAACCCTTAAGCTAAATGTGTGATACACGTAGCATATTTTATGCAACATTACGTATTAAATGTGCTTTTTTTTCAGTGGACCTTAATTTTTTTAAAGAACAAGTCGCACAGTTTTACATTGAAGGATCATGGTTTAACTACTGACAGTGCTCCGATGTAAATGTGAAAATACTTGTATTTTAAATTACTATGACTTACGTTATATTTATTTCTGAGTTATACGTACATAATTTATCATAGTCCGTATAACGCTCTCAAAATATGTCTCAGTCATATATGGTTATCGAGGAAGTTGACATTGGGGATACGATTGGATTTCTCCCAACAGTTTACTTTGTGATAACAAATGTAAACAATACATACGTATGTTCTTTCACACAAACACATATACATTTGAAGCAAAATATACTATTTTCAAACTTAATATAAACACTCAGTTGTGTTACTTATCTGAGGCACCGTGACTATTTAATTGTCTGTGCCTAAACGAAACCGTAAACTATCTTTGATGATTTACGAAATGTTCAATTGCACTTAACGCGTACAAGTCAGAGGAAGATTTATCTATTGAAGTACAGTTTGCATGAAAAACCTTATAGTAGATTTACTCCCTTTCTTGTTTCCGATGGTGGAAAATTGAGTCTCTCAACTTGCTTGCTTTATTTATCCACTGGAGTATATGGGCTCAAAGAAAAGGGAAATTGTATGTCTGATGTCATTGAGGATGTCAGGCATTGTGTAGCCAAAGCCAGTGTGTGTTAATATTGGATCGTTTATATGAATATCATTACATGTTTAGAGATGAAACCTGTAAGCATTTGGACTTAACTATGCCTATTGATAACATCTGAGGGTATGTCAGCTCTGAACATTTCAGACAGTGAAACAAAAACTGATTGTATGCATATTATACTTTATATATTTTTAGGTTCAGTACCCTGGAAAATTATTTTAGCTTACATTGCGTAACAGCTATTTATTTTGTAAGTTAAATATACGGAATTGTCGTGATATGTATTGTAATGTCCTTTGTAATAGTGGTTGATGTATTAGAATGGTCTTTTCTGTATGTTTTCAATACATTTGTATTGATACGTGCAGTTGCACGTACATACACACACAGATATGTATGAATTAATCTGCAGGAGCTCGAACTTTACTACTATTGTTAGCTGGTCCTCATTTCATAGTTATGAGTTATCGATATGCTGAAATTGACAAGTATGAGTATTTGGTGTTCGTAGACCCATAGCAATTGCTTCAACAGCCATGTTATTGATTTTGTTCAAAGAATCAGCAACCAGTTGAGTCTAAAGAGCAATTACCCATGTTGCAAAGAAACCTCACGCAGTTAAACGATTAAAGAATAATTATTTTTATGAAATGCTAAATGTTTTTACACGTAATGAGTTACAAAGATTTGTTCATTATTATGTTATTTTGCAAGAAAAAAATTGGTAATTTCTGTACGAGGTTTTTTTTTGAAATAGTTACTAGAGAATAGCTTCATACATGGAAGTAATTTGGCATAAATCCAGCTTTGCCAACTTTTCTCCCTTCATACCATTGTTACGCCTCCCTATGTTACGTCATTATTGTTTCTCCCTTTTGTTCTGACTTTTATAATCTACATGTAATTGAATTTGCAATATTTTAATCACCTAACTTATGTAGTTGGAAAACACATGCCCACCGTTGTGTCTTAACACCCTATTACAGTACGACTAAAAAATAAATTAAAATCGATCGAAAGTAAAAATATCGGGCTGAAGAATCGTAAACACCATTTTCTTGGCTAGCAGGGTTTCAGAGTTCAGTTGATGTTTTGTGAGATTGGCAAAGTATTATGATTGCGTACTATACTTTAAGGAGTATTTATAAGCTCTCGGCAACGTTGTTTACAGTCCTGTCTCATTTGATAATTCCATTTACGTCGAGATTGCTTGAAGTAATTCTCTAATATGGTTGTTAGGGTTTACTGCACTGGTTGCTGGTTGCGCTGAAATCTTCATATAACTTTAATGCACTGGGCACTATAGTGCTAATTGGTTGTGATTTTAAATAAATTAATGTTGCCCTCATTTTGTTTCATTTTCTTTTGTGGTCAATAACGATTTGTTAAGTGAAGGGTTACCAATTTCTAGACTTGCAAACTTAATCAAACGATTTAAATGTGTAAGCTTTGTTTTAGCAGTGGAATGCTGCAAAGCGCGCATTTTAGTTTCTTTTTAATAACATTTTGTGGTTAAATTGTTAGATTTCAAACATATGCAAAATTTTAGGTGTAGTTTTAAAATATACCATATTTGTTTTAAAAGAAAATATGATTGGAACCGTATAATTTTTTTTTGTTTTTTCTTGTTCTAATATTTGCTCAAATTTGCTTTGTGTCTCAAATCTTGACAGAGAGTTGACTAGGTTATTTATTTTTATTCATATCAAATACGAAGCATAATTTGATAGTAAAGATATAAGTTATTTTAAACATTAACCAAGCTAAATATCTTTTAGTTTTAGTATATGAAAGTTTGTTAATTACTATGATAATGATATTTCTATTAGATGAAAGGCGTGTTTTTATTAGCACTACAGTAGTGTTTAACAATATTTACGAAAGATGACAAATTGATTATTCTTGTTAACGAAATGGCTTTGTGTGTGTGCAAAAGGTACATACAACTTTTGTGAATTTTAAGAAAAAGCATACCTAAAGTATATTGATTGTGATACACATTTTTTCACGTATTTTAAACATAACCAAACTGTCTTGATTGTGATACACAGTTTCTAATGTATTTTAAACATAACCAAACTATCTTGATTGAGATACACAGTTTCTAATGTATTTTAAATATAACCAAACTATCTTGATTGAGATACACAGTTTCTAACGTATTTTAAATATAACCAAACTATCTTGATTGAGATACACAGTTTCTAATGTATTTTAAATATAACCAAACTATCTTGATTGTGATGCACAGTTTCTAACGTATTTTAAGCATAACCAAACTATCTTGATTGTGATGCATAGTTTCTAATGTATTTTAAACATAACCAAACTATCTTGATTGTGATACACAGTTTCTAATGTATTTTAAGCATAACCAAACTATCTTGATTGTGATACACAGTTTCTAACGTATTTTAAGCATAACCAAACTATCTTGATTGTGATGCACAGTTTCTAACCTATTTTAAGCATAACCAAACTATCTTGATTGTGATACACAGTTTCTAACGTATTTTAAGCGTAACCAAACTATCTTGATTGTGATACACAGTTTCTAACCTATTTTAAGCATAATCAAACTATCTTGATTGTGATGCTCAGTTTTTCACGTATTTTTGGGTTTCGTTGGAAAGGTGATCTTGGCTACAAAGTATCAGATCAAGTTTTATCTTCCGTAACGAAACGTTTTAAACCAGTATTGTTTAAAGACGTATGGGCTGTTGTACTATTGTGTCATGTTATACTTTTGGAAACAATAACCTTCTCATCTGCCGATATCTTTAATAATGTATTTTCATATTTTTTGCCTTTTTTTTTTCTATGTGCCTCTTGGTTAACGTCGACTCTTTGCGTTCATATTCTTGCTACTGGTTTTAATTAGCCATAGGAAACAACCGAAGGTAAGAGGAACAGAATATGTGGTAACACTTATCATATAATATTGATATACAATGAAAAAACATATTTCTGTTAGTAGTCAGATAAAACAAATAATTTTTTAAAGAAAAAATAAAAATTTGTATGCATACTATTTATTAATTTCATTGTTTTTAATACAATGTTTAGATATTTTAGCAAACTTGGTTTAGCATTAGGAATTTGATATATATTGAATAATAAAAACATTTAAAACGAATTTAAGTGATTTTTTCAGTTAGTCTAATTGTGCTTCTTTATATGGTAAGCCTTATTGCAATTCTAGTGTGTGAAAAACTAGTTGATTTATAAATCACAGTTATTATTTTGAACAATTGATACTGATTTAGTTCATATTTTATCAACTGCTTAACTTAAAATAATATCCTATGAGAACCATGCTTCTACATTATCATTTTGTTGTTGTTAATTATGTGTTTAGTTTTCTTTTCAAGTTTAATACATTCATCAAAAATATTTCAGTTTATGTTGTATTCTTCAAAGAAGATCTGTAGGAAATATAGCTAGATCATAATTTAGAATGGGAGTATATACTGTTATTCTTAATGAATTAGTGAGGTTTGAGTGAAACCTAGAAATTTAGGAAATTTACTCCTTTCATTATTTCTCTCCATAGTCAAAGTGATGAGTTGTTGTATCTATGTCATGGTGATGTTTTTTTCTTTATTTTTTTAGACATTTGCCTTTGACCACTGTTTTTGGTCTTATAAAGAAACAGACCTTCATTATGCCAATCAGGGTGATGTGTACCAACATCTGGGCTCAGACATTCTTCAGAATGCATTCCAAGGTTATAATGCATGTATATTTGCTTATGGCCAAACAGGTAACAAATTTGTTAAAAGATATATGTTACAAGTGTTTTATTGACACACACAAGTGGTGGCATCATATTACTATAGATGTAATAAACATGTTTGTTTTCCTCTATCTTACTTATTTTTAACTGCAAAATGAACTAACTTTTTCAGTCCTTAAAATATGAGGTATCTATTGCTGGTATCTCAAGCATTATGCCTCTTTGAAGTATATTTGTTTGTATAATTTAGTGGAATCCAAAGTTAATAATTTCGTATCTCCGGAAAATCTATTCACACATTGTATATGCTTGTGGAAATATACATAGAAATTGTCAGAATTGTCTGGTGAGTAATGAGTAAAATTTACACAATAGTCCTATTAGTTGTGAGAGGTTTAAACTTCAAGCTGTCTGTTTCTTGAACCACTCTACATTGTAGTTCATGCTATTAAATGTTAGCTACTCACCAGAATTAGTAAAATAGAACTTTTCAAATATTAAGTAAGAAGTGAGTTTATGCACTTTAAAATTAGACAGTCTTAGGTATATTTTTAAATGTCTTTGTTTAGAGATCTTTCAAACTATAGGGCTGAAAGAATTATTGTTTTGTAACCAAATTATTCTCTTATTCAACTTTGTTTTATTCTAGTAATTTATTCTCTGACTGAGAAAGTTAGAGTAATTGAAGTTGCTTTTATGTAATTGAAATAAAAATATACATCTATCTGTATGTCATGTTTTTTCTCCTTTTAACTACTGTTTCTAATTTGTTTAAAATTGTTCATAATCATACAGTAAATGATAAAGCAATGTTATATATATCAAGGATGGTAAAATTAGCAAATTGAATTAAAAGGACATTCAGATTGTGTTAATTATATTGTTTTGTGTTTACAAAATTGGGTGGTGGAAACTAAATATTTAATTCAATATATACACCTGGAAAAAAGTTAAGCACCCCCGTGTTTTTTTCAAGTGATTCAGATTCGACGTTCTTGTGACTGATTATAAATTACCATTCAATCTAAACGTGTTTATCAAATGAAATTATGCATTATTGGGC